GGCGGGGTCAAGGGCGGGGCGGCAGTAATGCAGTCGTCCCCCACTGATCCAGGTTTGGAGAAGGCTGGGCACCACAGGGTCCTGGTGCCTCCACAACTGGAGAGGAGCCACGAAGGCTCTGGTTAAGAGACCGTGGAGGGGAGTGCAAGAGGAGCCTGCAGCTGTTGTGTGCTGTGGTTTGGGCAGTTGGATCTAGTGATCAGGGCGTTCTCTGGTTGCCAGGGTTCTTTTCCTGGCTCTACCACTGATTGATTGGGCAAGTCACTTCTCCTCTCTTCCCCCTGTCTCCCTCTGTGTCTTGTCTGCCTTTTTGGTGCAGGGACTGTCTGAACAGTGCTTACCACAGTGGGGCACCGTTTTTTGGTTGCCACCACTAGACACTACTGTGGAATTCTCCTCCACTGCATGGCTGAGAGTTGCTGGGCTGAAGAGGTGCTAAAACAGAGCCAGCGAATTTGCCATGTTCCTGCTCCAGAGGCCAAAACTTTCCACCCAGGGCAGCATGCAGTTTCCAAGTGCTTCTACTGGCTCTGGCAACAGAACAGTTCTGCCTCATATTCATAAATGATCTGGAGGAAAGAGGTAAACAGTGAGGTGGCAAAGTTTGCAGACAATACTAAACTGCTCAAGGTAGTTAAGACCAAAGCAGACTGTGAAGAACTTCAAAAAGGTCTCACCAAACTAAGTGACTGGGCAACAAAATGGCAAATGAAATTGAATGTGGATAAATGTAAAGTAATGCACATTGGAAAATATAACCCCAACTATACATATAATATGATGGGGGATAATTTAGCTACAACTAGTCAGGAAAGAGATCTTGGAGTCATCGTGGATAGTTCTCTGAAGACGTCCACGCAGTGTGCAGCGGCAGGCAAAAAAAAAATCAAGATGTTAAGAATCATTAAAAAAGGGATGGAGACGCGGTTCTTTCGAAAGTAGAAGTCTTTTTTGAAAGATCCTGTAAAGCTCATTCTTTGTGCTTTTGAAATAGTGCTTTTTCGAAAGAGCGCCATGACATGATTATGCAAATGAAGCACGGGAAATTCAAATCCTAGCTTCATTTGCACTTTTGAAGTGCCTAATTTATATCCCTCTGTTGAAAGAGAGATGTAGTCTAGACACCCCCGGCTGTATCAGTATAGTTACAGCTGTACTGCTTTTGTGTGTAATCAGGTTTTAAGATTTTGAAATATCTGTGCCTATGTAGATGAATTGATGACATGCTTGTTTCTTATTCTCTGACTGTCCCAAGCCCTGCCGAGAACCATGCCTTCTAGATGCATGATTCACAAATACAGTTTTCCTACAAGCAAAATACCTGTTAGCCTACTGGAAGAACTAGCGATGTTAAAATACATCTCTGTAATTTTGTAATCACATCCACCTGCAGCCCCATGCTGCCTCTAATGCAGAGGCAGCAGCCCAGGAAGAGCAGGTGGCTCTCCGGGAGCCAGTGTGCATGGGGAGCTGGCTTAAAAGCTGGCTCCCAGTGTATACCAGCTCCCCTGCATATTCCGGCTTGGATACAGAAGCAGCATTGTGGCGCGGGAGCCTGCATGTAACCGTACAGGTTAACCGATAATTCCAGGCTCATCCGTTAACCATGTAAACGGTTCCGCTTCCGCATCTCTAGGAAGAACCAGACTCCCCTTTATGCCCCAGACCTGTGAACAGGGCCCACTTTTGTGCTACTATCAAGCAAGCTACACACTGAGAAACTGTATCTTTGCCCCCTCTAGTGGCTAGGTGCACAAATTATAACAACCCACTATTATCTGCTAATGGAGTTGTTATTTTTACCTCAAGTGGAAGAGATGAAGTAACTCAAGAAAATTGATCAAACTGCTCTTAAGGGCTTGCAGAAATATTCTCTTCTGCCTTTCCAGTAAATATGTCAATTTTCAGGTTAACCCAATTTTCTAAGCCCTTTAAGGATTGCTAAAATGAAGCTGTATAATAGAAATTACTGGCAACCTTCATGATGGAGGAACTACAGCCTCTCAATGTAATGATCACAATTTTTTTGGACAAAAGCTGGCAGCCTCATCATATTACTCTGTATGCTTCATGTCCTCTGGGCATCCTGTTTTTGCCTTCTTTGTGGTTTTTCCATTTCTCTTTCAGTACCCTTATGGCTTTTCAGTGTCTGTACTGTCACTTTGCAATATTTGCCACTTCTCCAGTTAATGAAAGACCCATTATTTTGAGGTGGAACAAGACATCATCGACTTGGCTTATATTAGCCTTAGGGGTTTGCAAAGCAGATTTGACAGAATGTCTGTTCTCTCCCCTTTTGCTCCCTAAAGAAGTGTTGAGGTTGGGCAGTGTCATTTTTGAAAAAATATTTATTTAATTTTTGGAATGTAATATTTTGAGAATAAGGGAAACCATGTGTTTGGCTCAAAATATAAATGAGCAAGGACCGCCTGAAATTTTCCATGGGGAGGAAAGACAAACCTCCATGTTAGTGTTGTACAGGTTGAACCTCCCTCGTTCAGCACTCTCAGGACCTGACTGGTATTGAACCAGAGAAGTTGCCGAATCATAGGAGGTCAGTATTGTCCAGCAGTATTACCAACCCTTCCACTGCTTACTGGGCTCGTAGCAGACATTTGGGGATAAATTAGAGCTAACAGAATACTGAGGCTGTGTCTATGCTACCAAGTTATTTTGAAATAAGTTATTTCAAAATAACAACTCCTGAAATAACTATTTTGAAATAATGCATCCACTCTACAAATGCCCATCGAAACAGCGCCGATCTATATTGAAATAGCGCATCCACACTCATTGGAGCCTGAATCACCTTTAAAGCCCCCGGAAGCATTCCGGGCAGGGCACCAGGACTGCAGTCACTTCCTGAAGCCGCTGCCTGAGGCTGTCTGAGGCTTGTGTTTAAAGGGGCTCCCGTCTCTGGCCATGTCCCAGGCTCTTCTCCATTGTCCCTAGCCTCTGTTTGTCTGGAAATGGATGACGGGGGAGGGATCAGGTAAGGATTACTTGTTGTGTTCCTGCTCTGGAGCATCTGGCTTTGGCCACTGTTGGAAGACAGGATGCTGGGCTAGATGGACCTTTGGTTTGACGCAGTATGGCCGTTCTTATGGCCTCCACTGATCCGGCAAAATCCCTCATCCGGGACCCATAAGATCCCAAGGTTGCCGGACCAGGAAGGTCCAACCTGTAGTACCCATTTATATTTGTATCTGAGTAGACTAATACAACCTCCTTCTGCTGAGCAGCAAGGACAGTCAGCTGCCAACCACCACTTCCAAGCCCACAGGCATAGATCTTTGCTCCTGGGTGGACTAGAAGCTCCAGATGACATGTCTGAGAGGCAGTTGGCTGGAGTTGTTGTCTTCACCTTGTTACTGTTTTAAATTGTGGAGGATCCTTTTACTTGAGCCCAGCGGAGGCATGGGACGGCCACTGAACACCCCTTTCCAAGGAAATGACAGAATAATATACAGACATGAAGAAGGAGGCCAGGTAGTAGGCGGACAGGGTAGAGCTGAAAGATACTAAGGAGATGACCATTTTTGTGGCATTATGTGGCACTGAGACTGTTCTGTTTCTTGACAAAACATTGAAATATGTGGCCGTTCATGCAATGGCGCAAACGCATGAGACTGAGCAGAAGGAAACCCTCCGAGGTCTGTGGGAAATCTTTCCTGCCCGACAGGCTGGGGCTAAGAAGCTAGGTCAGCCCGTTAGGAGTGATCCTGTTGCAGCAGTCCCTAAAGAAAAAAGGCATAGTGGCTTCCAAGAGTGCTTCTGTCGGTTGAACACAGGCCACAAGGGAGTTCTTCCAAAGAGGAGAGCAAGGTCAGATTGTAGGGAGAAAACCTACAGAGTTAGCAGTTTGTCATGGGGAAATTTCTGGGTGCTGTCATGCAGCATGCACATCCTTTGTCTGGCTGTATAATAATAGTTGGATATAATACTTAAGGTAAAGAATCCAAGTACATGACTCAAAATTAGTTCCTCAGTTCCAAGTCAGCAGTAGTGGTGCAGAGCAAGAGTCAGGTCTGTTGAGAGCTTCCTGTTGATCTTCTTGAACTCCAGTGCCACATCGATGGATTCCAGAGAAAGCTGTATCTATCTCCATTAGGCAGGAATATTGATGAAAGGAATAAAGGAATGGAAAACTGGGAGAACCCTGGAAAAATGTGCCTAAGAGGCAGAGGTTTTAGGTGGTATGAATTACACATTTCTTGTGAAATAGGATAAAATATTAAATGTATTATCTGGGTCTCATTGCAACACAGTGCAACTTATATATGTTTTTTACATGACCCTGTTACTCTGTTGGCAATATTTGTCATTTTTATTACAGGCCTCGACCAATCCCCGGATAGTCTGTGGCCCATTGAAAATACATTAGAGCTAGAAGATGAAAGCCTAGATAGCAGCAGCGACCTCACAGTTTCAGTGAGTGAAGAGGAGGAGATGGTAAATACAGTTGAACCACAGCAGAGCCTACAAAGTGTGGATTTCAAGATGGCCTTACAATCAGTGAACTCAGAACAAGAAAAAGAAGGTATATCCACCAAAGGACATTTTTCTTTGCAAACAGGAAACCGTCATACACCAGACGAAGACTCTTCAGCTAATTCAGCAACAAGGCAGTAAGGCAATAAATATTTTTCTCACTGTGATTAATTAGTTAAGATTCTTTTTTGGAGATTTTCCTAGTGACAGCCTATGCTACCGTAAAATATGTATATGAATATGTAACTTCTTTAGCTCCGACAAGCAGACATTTTGATGTGGGAGCCCTATTTTTTTGTGATAAATTGACTTTGGAGCTCATCGCACAATTTGAGAAGTTTCTTTAATTTCCATTAAAACAGATGTCCTACTAATTTCCTTATTTGAGCATATCAGTTCAGTCTGAACATTGAAAGAACTCGCTACACAGTGCATTTCATGGTCATTAACATAAGAACATAAGAACGGCCGTACTGGGTCAGACGAAAGGTCCTTCTAGCCCAGTATCCTGTCTACTGACAGTGGCCAGCACCAGGTGCCCCAGAGAGGGTGGACTGAAGACAATGATCAAGCGACTTGTCTCCTGCCATCTCTCTCCAGCATCTGACAAACAGAGGCCAAGGACACCATTTTATCCCCTGGCTAATAGCCTTTTATGGACCTAACCTCTATGAAATTATCTAGCTTCTCTTTAAACTCTATTATAGTCCTAGCCTTCACAGCCTCCTCTGGCAAGGAGTTCCACAGGTTGACTACACGCTGTGTGAAGAAGAACTTTCTTTTATTAGTTTTAAACCTGCTACCCATTAATTTCATTTGGTGTCCTCTAGTTCTTCTATTATGGGAACTAATAAATAACTTTTCTTTATCAGCCCTCTCCACACCACTCATGATTTTATAGACCTCTATCATATCCCCCCTCAGTCTCCTCTTTTCTAAACTGAAAAGTCCCAGTCGCTTTAACCTCTCCTCATATGGGACCCGTTCCAAACCCCTAATCATTTTAGTTGCCCTTTTCTGAACCCTTTCCAAGGCCAAAATATCTTTTTTGAGGTGAGGAGACCACATCTGTACACAGTATTCAAGATGTGGGCGTACCATAGTTTTATACAGGGGCAGTAAGATATTCTGTCTTATTTTCTGTCCCTTTCCTAATAATTCCTAGCATCCTATTTGCCTTTTTGACCGCCGCTGCACACTGTGTGGAAGTTTTCAGAGAACTGTCCACGATAACTCCAAGATCTCTTTCCTGATTTGTCGTAGCCAAATTAGCCCCCATCATACTGTACGTATAGTTGGGGTTATTTTTCCCGATGTGCATTACTTTACACTTATCCACATTAAATTTCATTTGCCATTTTGTTGCCCAATCACTCAGTTTGGTGAGATCTTCTTGGAGTCCCTCACAGTCTGCTTCTGTCTTGACTATCCTAAACAGTTTGGTATCATCTGCAAACTTTACTACCTCACTGCTTACCCCTTTCTCCAGATCATTTATGAATAAGTTGAAAAGGATTGGTCCCAGGACTGACCCTTGGGGTACACCACTAGTTACCCCTCTCCAATCTGAAAATTTACCATTTATTCCTACCCTTTGTTTCCTGTCTTTTAACCAGTTCTCAATCCAAGAAAGGACCTTTCCTCTTATCCCATGGCCATGTAATTTACACAAGAGCCTTTGGTGAGGGACCTTGTCAAAGGCTTTCTGAAAATCCAAGTATACTATATCTACTGGATCCCCCTTGTCCGCATGTTTGTTAACCCCTTCAAAGAACTCTAATAGATTAGTAAGACAGGATTTCCCTTTACAGAAACCATGTTGACTTTTGTCCAACAAATTATGTTCTTCTACATGCTTCACAATTTTATTCTTTACTATTGTTTCGACTAATTTGCCCGGTACTGACGTTAGACTTACCGGTCTGTAATTTGAGTTTTCAGGTGGTTAAACTAGCTTAAAACTAGAAATGCATTATTTGTTAGCTGTGTAACTCTGTTTCGATACTTTCCATGGCCCTCCATTGTAATATCAGAGTATCTTTCAATCATTAATGGATTTTATCCTCACAACACAGCCCTGTGAGGTAGGGGAAATGTAATCGTCGTTCTACAAAGGGAGAACTAGGGTACAAGGTTTATGAAGGGACTTGTCAAAGGTCAATCAAGAAATCAGTGTCAGAGTCAAGGGGTAAATCCTAGTCCTCTGGTCTTTTTTCTTTTTTAATCATATTGGCCGTGTCCAGACTCAGGGGTTTTTTCGGGAAAAGTAGCCTTTTCCCGAAAAAACTTCCCCTGCGTCCAGACTCAAGCCACGTTCTTTCGAAATTATTTTGAAAGAACGCGGCTTTTCTTTCGATGGCGGTAAACCTCAATTTACGAGGAAGAACGCCTTCTTTCGAAAGTTCCTCTTTCGAAAGAAGGCGTTCTTCAATGTAAAGAGGCCGTCTTCGAAAGAGAGCATCCAGACTCGCTGGGTGCTCTCTTTCGAAAAAGCGGATTTCTCTTTCGAAAGATCCGCCTGCAGTCTAGACGCGATCTTTTGAAAGAGGCTCTTTCGAAAGATGCTTTCGAAAGAGCCTCTTTCGAAAGAAGCCTGCAGTTTAGACATAGCCATTGTGTTAACTCCCTTTACCTTGATTGAACACTTGGGTGTAAACCAGTAAGAGGAGAGGGATAGCTCAGTGGTTTGAGCGTTGACCTGCTAAACCCAGCGTTGTGAGGTCAATCCTTGAGGTGGCCATTTTGGGATCTGGGGCAAATCTATCAGGGATGGTACTCAGTCCTTCTATGGGGGTGGGGGACTGGACTTGATGACCTCTCAAGGTCCCTTCCAGCTCTATGAGATGTATAGGTAAGAATATTATTCCTTTTGCCCTGCAAACCTTTGATCTCACAATTGTGCAGCTCTTCCATTCTGCTTGCCTCTTCAGCTGCATTCCTTGATCACTCGCCTCCCAGCTCTTCCGCATTTCCTACTTCATCTAGATGGGCCTTTCACTGCGACTAGTGACTCCTCTTGCTAAGTTTCTCCTTAGTCTCTCCTTTGCCTTGCTTTCCCACTTGCTGGCTTTCTTCCTTTTTGCTCCTCCTACTCCTTAGCTGCAAAGGTTCTTCCTGTTGCCTGCTTGATTGGTACCTACTCTTCAGTGGCTGCCTGCCATTTACCTGCCTTGCTGGCTTCCCCGAAGTCTTTCTCCTCCCACTTCCTGCTGCGCCCCCTGCTGCCCAGCTTCCCAGTGGCCATTATCAGGAAAAGCTGCCCTCATAAATACATGCTTTCATCTCCGTTTCTGCTGCCCAGCTGACATCTCCACTTGTCTTCCAAGTGTGCTATCTCTCTGATTCCCCCCTCCCCCTTCCTATTTGAACAGATCACATGCAAAATGTTTAGGACTGAAGTGGTTAACCATATTAACATGATTGATTAGAGTCATGTGAGCTAGTACAGAAATAAAAACTTTTACATTGGGCTGGGAAGAAGACTGTGTAGCCAAGAAAAATAGCATTTGTTATTCAACAAGAATGAATGAGGCTTATAATCTCCCCACTGGTCATTTACTTATTTTGTCTTTTTAACCTATCTCTGTTTTGTTTGGGTTTTTTTGTATCTGCACATGTACAGAGAATGATTTCACCAGTGGTTCATATTTTAATAGATGACAGTTAAGCTGAAAAATACAAATCTATTAAAACATGCTTCTACAACGTTACCATTTCAGTTTTTCAAACCATGTACTAGAATATTGCTTACTACAGAAACATTTAATGTACATCTAAATAGTTTTTATGGAGTTTTCCTTTTGTTTAACATCTGTTAATCATAGTACTTAATAAGAAAGTTGTGTAGAGTGGTTGTTTTTTCAAGAAAATTCATAGCTTAGCAGTGGGAATGTAACCTTTTGTCCTGTCCCTATAGATTGTAGTGACTTCCAGCTGCTGATATAAACTGATGGAAAATATTGTATGTTCTTTGTAAATCTGGATAAATTATAGGAAAGATTTCATTGTTCTCATTATCTCTGGAATTTGGCTCAAAGCAAAAAGTGGGTAATGGCCTCTAAAACTGTCAAGTGGATGTCTTAGTTTTTCAAGGTCATAAAAATGTGATCATAGATGATACATTTCTACAGAAAATTATACAGATTTTAATTTGCTTTTGTTTTGAAAATCAAAGTACAGAGAGACTGCCAAATATTTGCATTTGTGAAAGATTGTATGGAGAGACAAGTAGTTTCTTCATAGTTAATTTTGCAAGTAGGAAGCATTTAGACTACCCTATTAGTCACTCATATTCAGATCAAATATAATGGAAGGGGAGATTTGCCATGAAGTTTTCAAGTGCTTAATGAGTTTGTGGTACATTTTTACAGAGGTTATTTGTGGTTGAAAAGGCTGACATCAATTACTTTTCTTCTAACTCCCAATTATTTTGTTTGTATATCAGTCAATTTTCCATATAGTTATTAAAAAAAAAAAAGTAGTGGACCCATTGTATTTGAGAAGAAATAGGATTATAATTAAGCAAAATTGTAATGATTGGTTATCAAACTGAATTGGTTATAGTTAGGGTCCTCTTGATATCTTTGTTAATTTGTAAGTATTGTATTGTAATATTAGTGCCATCTCTACCACTTATCATCTTTCCTCTGGATTCTTGAGTATACTTCAGAAGTATTCTAGGTTAAAAGCAGTAAACATAGAAGGGGGTTAGTGGAAAGAAAATCAGACTCTGACATTTCGAGGTCACTATTTCACTAAATTAAATATAAAACAAAAATCCTTCTTGCATATCAGCAAGTCACTGGTTTTCAGGTGACATCTGCATCAAATGTAATGGAGAAGAGAGGAGATTCCTCAGTTAACTTTCCAATTTTTGTTCGTTATGCAAATACATTTTCTGGGGGGAAAAAAGCATTTTTTCCAAAGAAGTGCTTTAAGGTCATATTTTGCCGTACAGTGAGTTTTTACAACACAGTTCCAAGCTGTGTATAGTATGATTTTTTTTATCTTGGAAATACTGACAAGCTGCTACCTGTGGAAATACATATGTGATGTTACTATGATCTTTTGTTGAAAGCTTGTTATCTATTTTAAGGAAGCAGACTTATATTCAGTACTTTCCTGAAAAGTTGAATGA